TCCAAGTGATGAAGGGTCCAGTTTTGCCCAACTTCTTGCTTCTGACATCTATCACATTCCCCACTGCCATTTGTGTCTTAATGTCTTTGATTAGTCTGTGAATAGTTGACCTGTGTACCTGAAACTTGATTGCTTGCTTTGTTAAAAATCCTCTTGGTATTTCCCCACACTGATGTTCTAATAAAAAATCATCAACAATCTGTCTCTTCTGGGATACAGTCAGCTCTTTCTTGGCTCTAGGATTGCCATTTGTTTCTTGTTGTTGTTGACTGTGTTGATTGTTGTGAGTTCCTTCATTGCTTGCATATTGGTCTTCCATGTTGCCTTCATCGTTGAGTATTTGGTCAATGCTGAAATAAGCATCATTGAAATTGTCTGCCATGCTTGATAAACTAATGACCCTGAGTTCCACAGATTTAGGAACTGGTAATGAAGTTGGTGGCTGTTTTTTTTTTGGGCTTTGCTGTGCTGAACCAGAACAATTCAAAGGAAGATGCTGCTTCTAACGTAGGATTAATTAGGCGTAGGATGGTAGCCTGATTTGCTAAACAATTGCTGTAATGAGGATTTCTGACTTTTGGATTGTAAATTTCTACTTGTACTGTGGATTTAAGGCAGGTTGTTTGTTAAATACCCTGACTTGATTGGAAAAGTCAAGTTGGGGGAAAAAATTGATGTTTCATAAGCTGTTATATTCTGGTGGCAGGGTCTTTAAGTACTCTTCCAAGAGTGCTGATTTGAAATGGAGGGAAAAAATTTGGGGAAAAAAAAAAACAGACTGAAATGTTTGGAGGGAAAAATTTTGAGTTGAAAATAGAGTTAATTGTTTGGTGGGAAAAAAGGGAGGTAAAAATTTAGGGGCTGAAATTTTTACCCCTCTTATTTCACCCTCCCTATAAATTCAGATTCTCTCTCCTCCTTTTAAAAAAAAAAAACCGGGTCCCCACTATAAGATTCTCCCTCCTTTTTTATTCCCCTAATCACATGCCCCTCATTACACTTATAATATCCTAAACACTCTCTAAAAGTTTTGACTTGGTTTCCGCAACAAGTACACTTGTTGCAATTAATCATTAACGGAGGTAGTATTTAAAAAGTTGTAAAAGATAAAAAAAAATTCTAGTTTTATCATCGACAAATTTGATGTATTAATGATTTGTGGCAAAATCAATTATTTGTATTACTAGTAAAATGAAAAACAATAGTTAAGGTAGTTATAATCAAAACGTTATTTTATAAAGGTGGTTAAAATAAAAATAAAAATAAAAATTAAAACAACTTTTATTATCGACAATTAAAGATATTAATATAGAAATAATGCATTGACAAGAAAGTCAAATCTTTATATATAAGTAAAAAAAATAGAGAATTGATTCTATTCACATTAAATTTGAAATGTTGAAATTCAATTTGGTTTATTATTGTTGAATATTTTCTGCAAACATTTGTAGGTTAATTTTTGTTAGATGATTTATTCCATCCTTATGAAAGTCTTATTGCACCTAAAATTCTAGTTTTTAAATAAATATTCCATTTCATCTGTTACATATCCAATTTAATTTGAAGTTTCTATCAACCACACCTCACTTCTATTTTTTCGTTTTTTTTAAATTTACATTTAATCAATCAAACACCATTAATTTTTAAATAATTCCACTATAAATGAGACTTTTATACGGATACAACCTTACATTGGGATTCAATTTATGTGATGCCTAAAGTCTAATAACATGGAAACATGTCTTCTATGTGTAAACCCTTATGTGAGAAAATTATTAATATTTCCTAGTACTTAATTCCTTAACATGCAATTATGTTGGCTCTAATAGAAGTGATTGGCACAATACAAGGCCAGAAATTGAATATGGAGCTTTTGTGGTTATACTTTAAAAATAGAGTGTCCTTAAGGTGTGTACAATGAGACATATTTTAAACTCTTTACGACTCGAGTGGGACTCTAGTACATGTTGTAGTCGAGCCAAACTTGTAATGTTTATATGATTATCTTGTTTGTGTTGCTAAATTTGATATTTGATGGAAAATCGTCATCAAAACTTTCATACATAGAAAGGGTTTGCATGATTACTTCTCTTCTTACAGTCAAATTATCCACTAGTTAAAAACTTGGCTTTGGTGGTTTACCTATCTAGATAAAGATTAATTATTGATGTTTATGTTTACACTTCTTCTACTGTGTAGACATTGACAGAGCAATCAGATGATCGTATATCAGCACTCCCATCTGACATCAGAAGGCACATACTCTCTTTCTTAACAACGCGAGAAGCTATGCAGACAAGCACCTTATCCAAGAGTTGGAGGTATGAATGGCTTGGCATCCCCTACCTCAACTTTGGGCGAAATTTTCTACTCAAACGCTGGGATTTGGACGGTGAAAGTGATGATTTCCCACATAGTGTTACAGCTGTCCCAAACCTTGAAGTTGTGCAGAGGTTCATGGAGTTTCTCGACAACACTTTCATAAGCAAAAGGCAAACATTCCAAAAGCTAAGGCTCTATATACCTTTAATACAAGGGTTAAGTCCAACATATTTGGACGGATTTTGTAGTTGATGAGCTTGAAGTTGAAGTCATTGGCAATGGAAGACCAACGACGCTCAATGATTTGTACTGTGTGCCAGAGTTTATTTTATCTTTCAACTCTTTGACTAAATTATGTATTCAGGGTTGCAAGCTATCTGATGAAATATCTGTCAATGAAATTAATCTCCCTGCACTACGCGAACTTTCTATGAGCTATGTCGTAATGAATCAGCAAGTGGTTGATAACCTTTTAGCTAGCTGTACCAGAGTTGAGAAGTTGAGCTTCACTGACTGCCGAGGTTATAGATCACTTCAAATTTTACGGCATCCTAACCTACAACATCTTATACAGATAAGTGGCATCAGCTTGGAATTGCTTGAGATCAACTCAGAAAATCTCCGCTCACTCTTTCATGCAAAATTGGGTGCTCAGTGTAAGCTTGTGTTGTCAGCCTCGTGTTTTAGTACTTTAACAGATATCGAGCTTGTTGGTAAGACTCTATCATATACTATTTCGATCTTTATATGTTTGTAGCACATAATATTTCGGGTGCATTGATTCTAATTGTGCCTATTTCAGGTTGTAATGTTGATGATGAATTGGGCTTCGGCATCTATCCAGGTTTATCAGATTTAAAACTGTCAAAATGTTGGTTTACCAATTATTGGTTAAAACGACATCTCTCCCAACTTTTATGTCTCACTGTTTTGAGGATTGTCTATAGCTCTGGTTTACAGCATTACCTGCGGATCACATCAGGCCGTCTGCGAAGTTTAGAACTCAATAAAACTGAATTGAAACTTTCTGCAAATCTGTACAACTTCACATTTAGCTCGCAATGGAACTTAACATCTCTATCTTCAGAAACTAGACTACTACCTTCTAGCATCACCGTTAAGCTCCCTATAAATGCCCCTTCGAATAATACATGGGATGTACAAATAATGAGATTGCTGGAGCAACTAAGGCATTGTAAGTCCTTGTGTATTGAGACGGCACTGATTGAGGTACAGCCTATTCATGAATGATTCAACTTTGTTATGTGATCTCATCTATGTTATGTATGATGAAACTAACATTATATTGCTTTGGTTTTATATGTTTAAGAGTGTCATAATTCGAAGACCAGCGAGGCAGAGATATGAGTCTCCACTTTGTGAAATCGACGAGTTGAAGGTATCCTGTTCTAGTTCTGTGAGCTTTCTTGATATTACCAGATGCATTGAAGCCATGCTTTGGCTTTTTCCTCGGCTGAAGACTCTTCGCATTATGGAATTTGTCCCTCCTCGCTTATCTTCTTTTGCACATCTCACAAATAATTTATTTAATTTTTTGCTCAAGGTGTGTTTTTCTTATTTAATATTCTATATTTGTTTCATCACCATTTCTTACAGTAGTGTGTTGGAATTTGGTGTCATAAATGATATTTTTTCTGAGATGACTTAAATTATAATTGTTGTCTGTTATTTAGGGACGGAGTTAGTATATGACAATGTTATTCTTGGAGAAGTTTCATCTCTTCAATTACTCTTCATTTGATTTTTATCTGTGCCAGTTAAATTACAAGGAGCCGACTAATGAGTTACCTCAAACAACCTGTGGATGCTATCCGTCTCAACCTATCAATTGTTGGAGGCATTCATTAAGGGATTTTGAGATCGTTGAGCAACAAGGATTTGAAGATAATGAAGGAATGGTGAAAAGATTTCTCGAAAAATCTGTGATGGGAATCTGAATGGTGTTCCTATTAATATTGTGATGCTTCATTGCTCTACTATTGAGGGATGTCGACGTTGGTGCAGTATTGCAGCTTACTGCATTGCCTGCAGTGTCCTCCAAGCTGAATGTTTCTTGAAGTTAATGTGTTTCTTTCGTTTGGATTATGAAACTTGTTGCTTTCGTTTGGATTTTGAAACTTGTTGCTTTTGTTTGGATTAAGAAACTTGTTTTCGTTTGGATTATGAAGTTTAAGGTGTTAAAATTTGAAGCATTTGTTTGGATTATGAAATTCATGTTGGCGTTAGTTTGTGTACATTATATTATCCTACTGATGTTTATTCTCCATAATAGCTTTCAATGGTTTAAGACGTTAAGCATCAACAACATCATTGATTTCTAAAAAACATTTCTAATATAATCTCTGTTTCCCTTCATTCATATTTAATTTTGAAAATTTGTAATCTTTCTTACCTGATTTTATAATGAAATTATTTCGTTTTGTTTGTGCAGTTATTAGTGCTGTAATTTGTTTCCGAAAATGTCATAATTGAGGTCTTTTTCCCATGACCTTACACAATAAATTGGTCTAAATAAATGTCAAAAAGTTCTTACACAAGAGGGTAGAAGAAGGCATGTATAATATCATCTTCTCAAGTATAAAGGGGCAGTAGTAGATACTAGATAGACGAGATTTAACTCCTCCACATGTTTGGTGTTCGTGATGGCAATGAGAGAGACCGTGGTGATGGGACGACGATGGATGGATATTTGTGATTAATGTAAAGTGTCATTAACAATATTTATGGTTTCACGACCTTAGGTTTATAAACGTATACTTTTTGATTCAGAGGGCGGGCCTCAGTTTCAACAAATGTGTTAAGGAAACCAAACACGAATTTTGGTTTTAGACCATTTGAGGACTCCTAAATTTCTAAGATAGATTTTAACTAATCATATCAATTGCACCAAATGTTCTACACTAAAAGACACACCAACTCAATTTTATTATCCAAACTAAAGCCATTCATCTAAAATCATACTCCAACACTGCACATCCTTCAGCTAATTCTCAATACCCAAGATTCGAAGGCTAAAGAATGACACCAATAACCAGATTATTGAACACCCAGCTACAAAACATCTACATTACTAATCATCCAATTCTCTTTTGTAAGACTTCACTCAAACTCGCGATATAAACAACTACCATCAACAATTTTTTTCTTCTACAAATCAATCTAATTCTAACAGCAATAACACTTTGGTGTTTCCTTTCAGATGAATCAAGCCCACGGTTCTACCACCGTGTACCGGAAATCCCAACACATCAACCTTGTCTTGGTCAGCTGAATACTTCAACCTACAACAAACTGCTTTCATGCAGGAGTGATGCAGTCAAGGCAAGTCCAAAAAAAAAAAATAAAAAAAAAATTTCTTTTTCTTAACTACCTATTTTTAGCCAATTATCATGTTGAAAATTTCTTATTGCAAGAAATACTTGGGTGTTTTACAGAGTTATGCAGGTAGACGGCGCAGGGCGAATTACATGGACACAGATACTTATGTGTACTTGGAACCAGGGAGAAGTGAGGAGTTTGTTTCTGAGGAAGAATTGAAAGATAAGCTTAAAGGGTGGCTAGAAAATTGGCCAAACGAGACGTTACCACCCGACCTTGCTCGATTCGAAACACTAGATGATGCAGTCTCATTTCTTGTGAAATCTGTATGTGAGCTTGAAGTTGATGGAGATGTTGGTTCAATCCAATGGTATGCAGTCCGTCTTGAGTAAAGTTGTCATGTCGCGTTTCATTAGAAGATTCAATAAAATTGGAATGATACAGAGAAGATTAGCAACTTTTCACATTTGGTTGTAACTTTCATTATAATTTTCATGACAGTATTTAGTACATTTTGTATGTGATTCAGACCGCTTCAGATTTTTCTTTGCTCATTACTAATGCTGTTGGGATTTTAGGAAATTCCATGTAATTTATTGGTAAAATGTTACTGCAACATTAAACAACAAATTCTTATGAAAAGAAGTAAAATAAAATTACACAAAGAACTAGTACAAATACAAGGTTTGTACAAGTAATTTTTCAACAGGCCCCGAACTCGAACAGCAGAGTGTTCCTTTGATACTAGATATATTTATTGTTTCATGTTCAATTGACACTGCTCTACATCAGGAGATCGCAGTTCTTGAATCTGCCAGCAAGAAAATTGATTAAATCATACATTCCAGTACGAAATTTCAAAAAATGGGCAAGTGGTCATATAAATTTGACATGTAACTGAACAATAGAGTTACCAAAGTAGAATAAAATTAAGGAATGATGTAACGTACCTTAGACCGAATGATGGAGGGTGGCAAGAGTGCGCCGCCTCTTCGGCTTTTTCGACCAAGGAGACCTTTAGATATAGGAGACAATATATTGTCTGTTGGACTGGTGTACCTGACATTGAAAACAATTCAAATTGTTCTTCATTAATCTAGTTTTCCTAACATTTATCTGATAAAAGATTAATTTAACAATTATGAAAAAGTGCAGTAGAGTATCTAAATTAATAAAATCATTGTATAAATAAGAATATATTAGTTTCCAAACTTTTAACCACGACTTTGCAAAATCGTAAGTACTCAAGTTGATTTATCACGTGCATTGACACGGGTACATTCTATAATTTTGTGATACATATTCGTACATACCTTTCAGGGTACTTGAATGGTTTCGGGAGTTTAAGGCGATCCGGTGTGCCTAAACCCGTTGAAACTTTGCACTTGCAGCTGTCATCAGTATAGTTTCTTAAGTTTTGTACATATTCAGTTTTCTGCATAGAGTTCTGGGTGTCTTCATTTTTCTTTGCAGAATTTTGTGTACCTTCAATTTTTTGGTAATGTTTCAGAGAAGGCGGCGATTCAAAACCAAGTGTAGTTGTGTTTAGTTCTTTAAGAGGCATTGCTTCTGATGATTTTGCCATTTTAGAGAGGGATTTTGAAGAAAGGAAGAGTACCTTAATCTGATGTTTAATTTTGGGGTTGCAAATGATAAAAGTATATAATAAATCTTATTTTTATTAGTGGGTTGAAAATGTTTCAACGGTCGAATTATAATGTTGTCCTTATTTTTTATTTGAAACGTTTTTTTTCCTTTTTCTTGCCATTTGTGCACCACTTTTTGTCTCTCTCTAACCACTTTTTGTCTCTCTCTAAAGATTGCCACTAATGGGCATTTTTTTGGTTGCCCAATCTCTCTCTAACCACTTTCTCACTCCTCCTCCCCATGGGCATTTTTTTGGTCATTTTTATTCTACACCAATGGTCAAAAATTATAATCCCCACCATTCTCTCTCCTATTTTTAACCCTATACCCCACCAATATTTATCTCTCCTAGACATCATTAAATTTGTAATTTAGTATTTCTTAATTTTATTGTTAACAAAATTTTGTATTGATTAAATTATTTATGAGTAGTACAATATTAATTATTTTTAATATTAATTTTTGCAAAATGTATTTTTTAATAAAATAATAATATTTATTCTTAACTAAATTTTTTTATTGATTAAGTTATTTATGAGTACAATATTAATTATTTGTGTCATTATTTTATGCGAAATTTCATTTTTCATTAGTACAACAATAACGATTACAACATTGGAACATAATGATCGTACACCAATTAGACAAACCAAATAAATTAACGATTACAAAATATTTACTCAATGGTTGTATAAAACAAAAACTACAATTGGACTTGACTACTTTTTGGGATTTGACAGTTCAATGGTTGATAAAACCAACCACTTGACTCATAATTGTATAAGACAAAAATCTACACAGTAGCTAGTACTTCACTCTTAATTGAACAAAATATATGAAAATGTAATATAATTTGATAAATTTTTGGAACATAATTAATAATAAAAATTAATTCATTGCAACATAAAATAAACAAAATACTTGAAATCATAATGCATAATAAACTACTCTACTTTCCACCATACACTTCTTGAATTAGTTCCTCCTTCCACGCTTCTTCAGTTGGTGTAAGTGGCGTCGTTTTGGACATAATTGCTTGCAACATATCAAATTTCATCTTCTTCTCTTGTAATTCGACCTGTTTGTTTTTCCTCTTTTCCTTTTCCCTTTCAAGCTCCAACCTTTGCTGCCGTAAATTTGCCTCAAAGCTTCTAACTTCAGTACAAGCCTGTATCTGTTCACCAATACTTAAAATTGCACTATCATGAGCAATAGCTTTTCCCTTACGCTTAGCCTTTGCTTTTTTTACCCCGTCGGGTCTGGGTATACCTCCTGATGAAAACCCACCAACGGGAACATCTCCTTCAGCTTCACTGTCAGTTCTCGATCTCTTTCCACTTCCACTGGTATCCTCGGTGACCCCTTCCGGACGCAGTTGACAATCCTGTCGTTCCTTTAGTGACAATGCCCATCTGAGTTTAGGCCTCCACTTTGGGTCATTCTTTATCATTTCCCAAGCGTGGGGAAAAATAAAATTGTGTGGTGGTTTGGCTGATATATGGAACAACTTCGAGGCCTTTTGAATTTGATCAACTTCGTTGAATCCACTTCCAGTTAACGGACCCGCTTCATCATAACAACTTGTCCATAACAGTACATCTGCCGCCATCCTTCTCCAACGGTTCTCCAAACTCTTCGCATAACAACTTGTCCATAACAATAGCTTTTCCCTTACGCTTAGCCTTTGCTTTTTTTACCCCGTCGGGTCTGGGTATACCTCCTGATGAAAACCCACCAACGGGAACATCTCCTTCAGCTTCACTGTCAGTTCTCGATCTCTTTCCACTTCCACTGGTATCCTCGGTGTCCCCTTCCGGACGCAGTTGACAATCCTGTCGTTCCTTTAGTGACAATGCCCATCTGAGTTTAGGCCTCCACTTTGGGTCATTCTTTATCATTTCCCAAGCGTGGGGAAAAATAAAATTGTGTGGTGGTTTGGCTGATATATGGAACAACTTCGAGGCCTTTTGAATTTGATCAACTTCGTTGAATCCACTTCCAGTTAACGGACCCGCTTCATCATAACAACTTGTCCATAACAGTACATCTGCCGCCATCCTTCTCCAACGGTTCTCCAAACTCTTCGCATTTCTGGTTGGTAGTATTTCTGGCTTCTTAGCTTGAACCATGTCGTACGCCGCAGATATTTGTCGCCAAAGTTCAGCAGCTTTCATGCCCGTACCCACTATCGCATTTCCACTGTATTTTAAATATAGCCCAATAAGAGCTTCATCTTCTGCGACTGACCAAATACGACTAGCTTTAGCGAGTTGTTGGTTGGAACCCACCCGCATTCTTTGAGTCGACGGAGGGTATTGAGGTGTCTCAGGCACATTTTCTTCTTGGCTATCATCGTACTGAGAGTTACTTCCTTGGTAGACAGGAGGTGATTGCACGTAATCAGTGTTTTCAGTTGGAATTTGTGGAGGTATTTCAAGTTGTGGAGGTATTTGTTGTTGTGGAGGATTTTGCAGAGAGGTGTTGCTCAATCTTTGTAGGAAAAGTTTAAATTGAGGTTGATTCATGAAATTCTCATCAAAATCATTACAATTTTGAGAAAGTATTGAGTAAAAGGGGTTATTGGGATCCATATCTATTTTTTTTTATTAATTTCAAAAACTAACACAATAATAACAATAATAATAACTATTATAAAAATAATAATAATAATAATAATAATAATAATAATAATAATAATAATAATAATATTAATAACAAAAATAATAACGAACAACAATAATAATAGGCTAAATTAGAAAATAACACCTGTTAAAAGACCTAATTTTGTTTTTAACACCTTAAGATTTCGAAGTTTAATTATAACACCTGTTAAAAAATAAAAATTTTGCTTTCACCGCCTAAATTGGAACAACGTTAGAGGATCTGTTAGCTGGGCCCACAATAACGGCTATTTTTTCCAAACTGCTTTATATAGTTACGACATCCTTCACTAATGTAGAATTGTTGAGCTGATTACACAAAATTGCTTCACATTTTGCGAATTCGACTAACAAATTGGCGAAATTGTTTGATTTTACCATCATTGTTTGGGGGACGTAGATATCAAATCAGGTAATTGCGTCAATAGCACTTTAGAAACCCTAATTTATCTTTCAAAAATAAGGCGTAAATTAATCTATATGTTGTTGACTTAAATGCATAATTCAGGTCGCATCTGGCAATAGTCATGTAATTCGTAAATAGTTAGGGTTCATTGTGTGTTAATTGTGCTGTAATTTGCGAGAAAATGAAATTAGGGTTCATTGTAGAAATAATTTGGGGGTTTTGATTTGTAGGAGTGATTGTGTTAATTCCCTTGGTTCAATTGTATTTTTTCATAGTACAAATGGTTTTGCTTATTATGGATGGCAAATTGGTGCAGGAAATGTCTTCTACAAGTTTCTCACCTTCAAAGGAGAAGAAGTGCAAATGTGGTGTTCCCTTTGCAAAGCTTACCAGTTGGACAAGGGAGAACCCTGGTCGTAAGTTCAGAACATGCAAGTTCTACGATCCTGTAACTGAGAGCAGAGGTTGTAAAGCATTTGAATGGGTGGATGAACAAGATGGGACAGCCTGGCAAACAGAGGTGATCAACAATTTGTTGTTAGATAAGAAACTGTTGAAGGGGGAAATTAGTGATTACAAGAGGGAAGTTGATGATCTTGGTGGACAGTTGAGGTGTTTGCTGAATGAAGTGGACAGGCTGAAAATGAAATGCAAGGCTTTAAACTCTGACAGGAACAAGATGAACAGAGAGATGCATGGAAGGAATGCTAGATCAGATCACTCTGTTCTTAGTCTTGCTGTTGGGATTAGTTTGGTCATATTAGTGATCCTTCTTATTAGGGGGTTTGTAATGCATTAAGTATAACTTTTAATGCTAGTAATTGCATGAAACAGTAATATGGTAATGTAATGATTTATAAGTGGCAGTGAACCACTATTGCAAGCAAACTAATGTACACAATTATGAAAGCAATGAATTAAGTAAGTACCTAAGTAGTTGATATTGCATTTAAGTTGTTGATCAAATTTGTTGTTGCAGTGCCTAACAAAATTGGCTGGTAAAGCCTTAAAGCAAAGTATTAATTTAACAAAACAGGATCCTTGTCCTAAACTCAAAAGTAAAGCTACAAATATTGCAACTGATTGTTCAGAAAATACAACCAACAACTAAAGTTCAGAAAAACAATTCAAACATCATTGTGTCAGCCCTCCTTGTCTGGAAGTCAGCAGCTTAGCCCTCCTTGTCTGCACTCCAGTAGCATTGGGTTCAGGTTGGCTGGAAGAGGGGGTGGTGTGATGCTTGGCTTGTGGCTGCCCTTGTTGACTGTGTGAACCTTTCCTCTTACTCAATGGTTCACAGCCAGGTTGCTCTTGGGGAAAAGTCCTATTCCCAATGTTGTTTGGACCAGCCCCTATTGCACTCTGTTTATTAAACACAAATACCAATAAACAAGTATCAACATCCAATTTCATCACAAATTTTAAAAGAAAAGTTACAAACCTAACAGCATACCTTCTTAGCAGCTTTGATCTCCCTCTTCTTCCTTTGCTCAACTACCCAAGGTGAATTTAAAGGAGGCCTTCCTGCAGTTCTCTGCTCAGTTGGTTAAGGTTCATGTGGACCCTTGCAAGTCTTGGGATAGTGGCCAAATCCACCACAAATCCTACACTGACTTTTCCTCCTCTTTCTTCCCTGCTCCCCTCCTGTTACAGATGTTCCCTCCCCAGGTTCTAGCTTCCTCTTCTTCTGTTTAGGTCTTCCAGGCTGCTGTTTGAATGCTGGTGGATGAGGCTCTCTCATGTTCACTCTCTCCCAATTCTTTGGGCCTGGCATAGGTTGAATTGCAGGCTCATATGCTGCTCTGTAAGTGTCCATAGTGTAATAGGGGTGGACAAACTGCTCAGCATCAACCCTCTGATCCATTATGCATGCAAATGCATGAATACATGGGATGCCTGTTAATTGCCAGTGATTGCAGGAACAAGACCAATTTGGCAAGTCAACTAGAACCCGGTCATCATTCAGCTGCACTTCATAAGTGTCATCCCTGGCAGCTTCAATTATGCAATTCCTAGCCACATAGATCATCCTCTGAAATAGCTTATGCACATATGGAGTGATGTTGGTTGTGATTTCCTTGGAGTCCTCCCACTTCTCATTATTTCTCCTCATCATGTACCTCCTCATCCATTCCATTTGGGTGAGGATAGGTTTGTCTCTTGCATCTCTGATAACAGAGTTGAAAGTCTCACACATGTTGTTTAGTAACATGTTGGACCTGCAACTGTCACTGAATGCATGTTTGCACCAGTGATGAGTGGGGATGTTCTCCAAATAATTGTAAGCATCCTCATCAAGCTCCCTAATCTGTTGCATGGCTATCTGAAACTCAACCTACAACCACAACAGGAACATTATCATGAAAGAATAACATACACAACTGTTGTTGCTCTTATTTTGCTTTTATACACAACAGGAACATTATTACATGAAGTAGGTACATGAACAGGAACAATATCATGCATTTACTTATTCAAAATAATTTAAGGTCACCTAGAGACTTACAAATGTTGTTGCTCTTGCAGCACTCCAAAAGAGCTCTTTGAAAACTGATCCAGTGAACTTCAACTTGAAATTTGCCCAAATGTGCCTAACACAGAACCTGTCTCTGCATTAGGCACAACTTCAGACAGAGCTTCACCCAGTCCCTGTTTAACATCATCAACAATTACTTGTCACACTTCAAACAATAAAGAACAGGACAGAAAATAAGACTACAATAATCAAAACAATATTACCTTCTGCCTGTCTGACATGAAGGTGAAGCCTGCCCCATCTGCACTTCCAATGCATTGCATCAAGGATTCCAGAAACCAGACCCAAGTCTCCCTGTTTTCAACCTCACAAGTTGCCCAAGCAATGGGGTAAATGCTGTTGTTCCCATCCTTGGAGACTGCAACTAAAATCTGGCCTGGATAAGCTCCTTTCAAGTGGCAGCCATCCACCCCTATAATTGGCCTACAACCCTTCAAGAACCCATCCTTCAAAGGCCTTAAACAAATAAACATCCTCATAAACAAGGGAGGCTCAGGATTTTCAATGCCATCAATCACAACATTACAACCAGACCCAGGGTTGTATTTCATTACAGCCTTCCCATAATCCCATACCCTAGCATATTGCTCTCTTGCTGAACCAAAAATGATCAACTTAGCTCTACATCTTGCCATCCAAGCACTGTAGTAGGTCACTTCTACCCCCAAGTCATGAAGCACCCTATCCTTGATTTGCTTAACCTTCCATGATGGGTTAGTTCTGAACTCCTCAAGATACCTCTCAGCAATGAACTCTGCTGTGACCTTCTTGTTCTCCCTGCTTCTCACACATTTATGCTCCAACTTCATGGTTTTTATTTGCCAAGTCTGTTGTCTTTTTAACTTAGTAGCATGGATCTTGAAACTACACTTCACTCCACCCCTGCATATACACAAAGGCATCCTACTTGTCTTTGTGTCAAACTTGCACCCACACCTATTCCTACACTGAATAGTAATCCTAGTACTATCATTGTGTAAAAAATAGTACTCATACCTATTCTGTATGGCATGAACTCTTAAAGCTTTCCTCAACACTGTAGCATTGCTAAACCTAAGCCTATGAACAAGTACAACAGGCTTTGAGAAGTCAGATTTGTCATTAAACCATGGACTTTTGTCCTCTTCATCAGATGAACCATCCAAGCTCCTTAGGTCATCTGATTCTCCCTCAATTTCTTCTTGTAGTTGTACCTCATTCACATCCAAGTTACCTTTCAACCTTGCCTTTGGATCCTTCGAAACCCCCTCATCATGTACATCAAACTGCTTCCCAAGACTTCTTGTTACCTTAGCTAAAATTTCTTCAGAATTCTGCACAAACCACCTCTCATCCCCACTGTCATACTCCTCCTCTCTAGGCTCCCAAGTTATGTCAATCTCACTCCCATCACTTGAAGAAAACTCATCTTCCCTCCCAGTCTCACTGCCCTCACTACTATCCTCAAAAATCAATCCTTTGCCTACAGATTTTTTTTCCCTTTCCCTTATCCAACACCTTCACACTGCCAGAACCCCTTTCAAGCTTAGCTTTACCCTTTTGTTTCCCCTTACTCAACAACTTCCCTCTACCAGGAACCCCCTTAATCTCAGCAGAAACCCCTTCAACCCTTTCTATCCCCTGTCTAGATCTAGGTTTAGGAGATTCTTCACCCTCCCTCACCTTAGGCTCATTTTTGTTAATTCTTGGGCTCTTCCTAACTACAGCAGGCTTACCTGAACTTTTCTTCCCCTTTCTCTCAGCCTTTACTGGAGTGGACTGGGCGTGGATCTCATGTATGGGCCTTAATGTTTCATTAGCTGTCACAAATACTTCAACATACCCTTCCCCATTCACTGTCTCCAGCAGCCCCTTCACTTCCTCTTCATTTACTAACTCCCTTCTCCCTGTGTTAAAGGTCCTACCTCTTTCTTTATACCAAAGTCTGTAGTTAGGTGGGACATGGACATTAAAGTTCACAAACCCATGCACAGCAGCTACCCTCAAATAATGCAAATCTATCTTATCCACTACCACATCCCTCCTCCAATAACATAACCTACCACACCAACAAAGCAAATGCTTTGATTTTGACACTTGTTTAGTAACAAAAGCACCCCCTACTCTAAATACTATATCAATTAATCCATCTTTGTTGTCGGCCATTTTTCTACCTAATAAACAAATGCAAAGCAAATCAATAAAACCCAACATAGCTAACCCCATTACACAGTCAACCGCAATACTTTAATCAACAAAATCAAACATATTTAAACCAACACAATGACAAACCAGTCAACAGTCAACAAAATCAATGATTTAAACTAAATAATTCACACATTACACCAAATCATACTTAATTTAATCAAATTCAACTTTAATTACAAATTACCCCATTTTACTGTTCTTAGGGTTCCTAATTTTTTTTCCCAAATTACCCTACTACACCCACACAAATGGCATAATGCAGCACACAGTACTTGTTGAAAACTACTTTAAAGGGTTCGAAAGGTACCTGTATTGGAATCTTACTCCTGTTGCTGTCAGAATCCACGAAAAAGTCCAAGCTTTTTGGATGTTGGAAATGGCTGACGGAATCTCGCTGACTTGTTTCGCTCCAATATTGACACCTCCTCTTCAAACTCAATTTCTCAATCACAACAATCAGTATAGGGTTTGAATGTTCGCAGTAATTTTGGTTGTTCAAGATTTGCAGACGAAATTCAATGAAGCAAAATTAGTTGGGTGGTAATAAATGACAGAGAAGATAAATTCGAATTGAAGGGGATGGAATTTGGAGGGTAAACGACTATGTGGGCCCCACCAAAAAATTCCGTCACAGTTTCTGTTATCTGGTGGTGAAAGCAAAATTTTTATTTTTTAACAGGTGTTATAATTAAACTTCGAAATCTTAAGGTGTTAAAAACAAAATTAGGTCTTTTAACAGGTGTTATTTTCTAATTTAGCCATAATAATATTAATAAGCTAAAATAATAACAATAATAATTATACTTCCAATAATAATAATAATAATAATATTCATTTTAATAATAATAATAATAATATTTATTTTAATAATAATAATACTAATATTAAAAGGATGACTAATTATGAGGGAGAAATTGAGAGAAAATGTAAATACAACAAATTTATGTGAATTTTGAAAATATGAAAATATAGGCAAAATGGGTCTCTATTTGTAGAGAATTTTTTTTTCTAGCCGTTGGTATATTTTTTTTTTTAATTTTATAAGCACAAAATACCCGTTACAAAATTGTTACCGTTGCAATTATCAGGAATTTCCTGATTGGTCCAACTCACCTGACAGGACGCGTGTCAGCGCCTGATTGGGCGTGCTGACGCGTCTGTCAGGCTGCCAAAATCATTTTTTTTTTGCTTTTCCTACCCTCAAAACGCAGCGTTTTGAGGTGAAGCAAAGCATACGCTTCCTCAAAACGCTGCGTTTTGAGGTATGCTTAGCAAAAAAAAATTTAAATGTAGCTTGCACGTGGGGCCTACTTCTTCTTGGTCAGTTTTTTAATTTTGCCCAAACTTTGATCAAAAATTGATTTGCCCATGGGCATTTTTAATTTAGACCATTGATGGGGAGTTATTTTTTTTTATTAAACCCCAAAAATTACCCATGGGCATGTTTCTCCCCATTGGTGAGAGTGCTCTTAAGTCTTACCAATTATCTTATCTTGGTTACCGTTTCTTTCTCCAACATAATAATATAATCCTGTTTGTTTCAACGACCTTTTTTTTTTGGGTAAATTGTTTCAACGACCTTAAGTCAAGTCGTGTGTTAATTTATTGTTAGGTATTTAGAATTAATGACGTATGGAGTATGGACTATTGGGCTGTACTTAGAACTGTGGGTTTTACTATGGGCTTAAGCCTTTTGCGATTAGCCGATTGTCATTACCATAAGATGTATTCCCTCCCCTAGTATAATGCCCATGTGATATATGGTTTATAAATCGTACTTTTTTTTCAAACTAAGCTTTATTATCGAAGTATTTTGCAAAGTGGACTCGTGGCAAAACTATTTACTAAACTAAGATTCCAGGGTAAAACGCTGTCTCGAACAGCGTTTAATACCCTGGTTTTTTTTTTAAAAAAAATTCAACGAGTAAAACGCTGTCTAAGACAGCGTTTTACATTTTGACTTTTTTTTTTTTAAATTTCGTAATTTCAGATTTTAAAATAAAAAAAAATACACCAAAAACGCTGACTCCATACGCATTCTAACTTGATCGTCGGAGGCGGAACTCCAACCAATCGAAGTCTCCGTTGTTTTGTAGGTACAAGCGCTCGAAATCCAGCCTTGGTGTTGTAACTCTCCCGAGGGACACGGAAAACCCCGAAACAGGTTTGTCAAGATCTTTGATTGGTATTATTTGTAATGATATTTTGGTAAAAATCATACAAAGTTAAAATGATGAAAACATAATAAAACATGCTACATATTCCTTCACGTATAATTAACATGATTAAACTTGGTACAAATGCAAATGCATTAGTTTGACCTTAAATATATATGTTGATATTATGAAACTTTATATTATAGTAATACCTAATTAAAAATATATTTCATGATAAAATTTATTTTTTATATGTTACTAGAAAAATGATAGTCAAAATTAAATAGTGAAAAAATATCAAATGTATTAATTATTTAG